AGCTGGTTAAAGTTACAAATTTTGGCCGTGATTCTGCAAAGTTTTATGCACATGCTTATCTTTAATAACTGTAAATAGTCCCCAGTCCTGCAATCTGATCCATTAGTGAGGAACCATGTGCCTCTCCGTAGCCTCAGTGAAGGGTCTTGGAGTAGCCATCCATCTGTGTATAAGCTGAAATTGGGGCCATGATAATATACCGTATATACTCATTCATAAGCCGAATATTTTTGGTAAAAAAATGACGCATCAAAGAGCTTATAAATGGGTCGGCTTATAAATGGGTCTACACCAAAATTTGATTTTAAACTCTATGAAATCCTTGAATTGAATATTTAATACATTGTCATTTTGTTTACAACATTTTTTTAAAATTTTATTAAAAACCATATGACCCTTTCATAAGTCGACCCTATATTTCAGGGGTTGGCAGACTTTGGCTCCTGGCCCGTCTGGGTAAGCTGCTGGCGGGTCAGGACGTTTTGTTTACCTGGAGCGTTCACAGGCATGGAGCCCCTCAGCTCCCTGTGGCCGCAGTTTGCCGTTCCCAGAACGGCGACCTGTGGCCACAAGGAGCTGAGGGGCTCCATGCCTGCAGACACTCCAGGTAAACAAAACATCCCAACTTGCCAGTGGCTTACCCTGATGGACCGGGAGCCAAAGTTTGCCAACCCCTGAAATATAGGGTCGGCTTATGAAAGGGTCATACAGTTTTTACTATTTTTACCTATCCATCTTGTGGGGGTCAGCTCATATACGAACAGGCTAATGAACGAGTATATACAGTATAATGATAAATATGTGTGCAAAGATATTATAAGTAAATTGTGGACCAAAACTGCTAATTTAAAAAAAAAAAAAAAAGGCCCTATTACAGCTGTAAATTGTACAGCTATAAACTTTCATAACATGGTTCGTTTGCTATTATAGCTAAAGTAAATATCTGTCAATATTTACTTTATAAACGCCAGTTTTCTGGGTTTGGGCATCTTACTATTTCAAACCACATTGAACTAAGATGTCTTACACCTAGTTTAAAGCCAAATTCTGAATGTTCTCCAGGTAACAGTGTAAATCATTTGAACCACACTAAAATTTTATGGTGTATATTTAGAAAACAAAAAGGCCCAAAAATGGTTTTGTGAGCTTTTCTCAATTATTTTTTAAAGACTTAATTAAAGAAAAAAGTGGTAATTTCCCCTTTTGAATGGTATAAATATTTCCATTTACATTTTTATAGTATTTTGTATCTGTATGCAAACCTGGAATTCTTGATTTAAAGGTGTTCATGTTAAGGTGTTAGGTCTCAGTCTTGCAATTAATTCCTAAAGGGTAGACGTTGGTGGGGGGGTTAATTCCAGAATCAGAGCCTTACTCCATAATTTTCAATGGCTTATGAAGCATCAAATAACTTAAAATACTTTCTTCAGCTGTGGAACAAAATGATGGTAGTTTGTCTTTAAAATTAATCAAATGCTTTGTAGCAGTTTGGGTTTTTTAAAGTTTTGAAAAGGCACCAGAAAATGTCTTGTAAATTACAGTGGTACCCATCGCTGCTTAGTAGGTGTCTTAACGTGTTCACACCCTACATTAATTGTTTGTATGTGCCAGGTCCATTAAAATAACACATAAAATACTCAATACTGGTCATTGCACTGTTGGGTGTGGAATCCTTAAATAACTTCAATGCATAGTTCTCTGGAAGATGCATGAGTTCACAGTGATATCAGATCATGTCCATTGAGCCGATCTCAGTTCACCACGTATTATGATTTTATATAAAAAAAAATCAATAAATCTTAAATTTGTAAAAAAAATTCTGTTTTGTTATAATAAAATTCATGAAATAATGAGAGACAATATATAATTATAATAATGAGGGCTAAAAATACTGAAATGTAAATAATACAATAGCAAAGACCTATACCCACATCAAATCAACAGTTTGTTTTATGTCACTTTGTTTTTGATGTTCCTCAGCTATGCAAAGGCGGCCTTCTGTTTGGAGGAGCTTATGATGACTAATCCACACAACCACTTATATTGTCAGCAATTTGCTGAAGTAAGTATTTTCAAAAGAATCGGTTGTGTTTGAATAGCTGTTCTGGTTTTGCAGCTAATAGGAATAATACAAATAGAATGAAAATGATTTCTTTTTAGTATATTTCCTCTTTGGGATTTTAAGTACGTACAAAGGGGAGGCATCAGTTTAAAACACTTGATAGAATTTTGCACGTTGAGTCATGATTTTTTAAAAAATCCTAGGATTACTACTATTACTAAATTGTAAATAAGAATTAAACCATCATTTGAATGTACAAATTCTTATGGAAATAAACTAAGCTTGTTGAAACGTTTATGCTCTTCAGTGAAATTTCAAAACTAAATGAATGATAAATTAAACTTTTATATATTATTAATGCTTTTCTTGGGAAGTATGTTGTGTTTTTGGGACAGTCAAGGGGCCAGAGCTTGCAGTCCTCCTTTGTAGGAAATCTTGCCTGACAGAGAATTGGGAAAACATTACAGGATTTGGCCCAAGATATTTAACAGTTTGCACTAGATTCCAGGTTTAAATTAAAAAAAATGGCATTATTATTAGTGAGAGTAAATATAATTTGTTCTATTTACATGGATTAAATATTAGATAATTGTTCAAATTTAAGAGTCTGCTTATATCACTTATATCTGGTTCCTAGAAATCCAAATTTTCTAGAATACATCTTCTAAAAAGTATTCTTCCTCTAGTTACTGTAATAATGGGAATTAATTCATTTAATTTCTCCTTTATTATGTCGGTGAGTGACATTTAAAATAGCAGCGACTTTTTTTTATAGTGAGAGCATTTTTTTTTCTAAATTAGATTATTGAAAAGATCAGATACCTCACAGGTTAGTGCTTTGCCTTTTGTGTTTCACATGGCATTCAAGATTTAGATGAGTCTTAACAGTTTTAAGAGTAGTTTCTATAATCTCTTTGATTCAGATAGAAAATTTCTACCTACTGCAGCTTCTGGTGCCTGAGGCATGATGAAACATGCAAGTTTTCAAAGTAGTAAAATAAAACAGGTTTAATCAGTCTCTAATTTTAACAGGTTAAATATACCCAAGGCGGGCTTGAAAACCTTGAATTATCAAGAAAATATTTTGCACAAGCATTGAAACTGAACAATAGAAACATGAGAGCTTTGTTTGGACTATACATGGTGAGTTTGAATGAATACTCATTGATTGTGTGTTGTCATTTAAAATTCAGTAATCTTTCTAGTCTAATATAATAGTTTTACTGTTTTGAATGAGAGTTATTAAATATCAGGAATGAACTGTTTGTTAGGCCAACGCGTTAAGGGCCTGCTTCCACACCAGTTGCAATCTATGGGACACAAGAGGACCTGGATTCTGTTCTTGCTCTATCCCTGACCTTCACATCATCCTTCTGTGCCCTTAGTTCCCCATATTCAAATGGGATAATTCTACTTCAACCTTCTGTGTAAAATGCTTTGAGATCTGGTTAGTGCACAGTATTGTGGTTTTGGGTTTTTTTGGGAATTTAATTGCAAAAGGTGTAATTATTCTATAACCTTGTCTGTACTACAGAAACTTTGCAAAAATTTCCCCAGTTTCCTACACCAGTTCAACTCCACCGGGGGTAGCAACAGAGAAAGCCTAGTGTAAATGAGATGCCAACATTTTAAGTAATTCACCTTTGAAAAGCAACTGGATAAAGTGAAATGTGAGGGTACTAGAATTATTATTTATTTAACCTTAATTTACCATTTACATGCATTTTTGAGGATTGGGTTATTAATGGTAACAGTGTGTGCTTTTTAACGATTATATTTATTATTGTAGGACTGTCTTAACCTTAAGTTAACAATGTGTTTTTACTTGGGAATAAAAAAAAATTTGTGAACGCTAGCTGTCAATTAGAAGTTTGGTAATGAATCAAACATACTATATGCAATATCTTCCCTTTCTATTTAGGGCACTCTCAAGCACTGAATTGTTATGCATTAATGAGACCAAATTAATAATAAAATAAAACCTTTTTCCTAAATCTGTGGCTTCTTCATTACTGAGTGGTGATGGGATTTTCTGCTGCCAGAGTATGTAAAGAGGCCCAGTGTTTCTGCAGTCACAAGTTGTATAATTAGTTTTGAGAATTTTCTGCAAGCAAGCAATTTATCCCTTATGTGTTTTACGTTAATGGAAACTTCTGTAATGAAACTGTGTTCAACATTTATATTGTTTGTATTTATATTTTAAGGGTAGACATGCACAAAGCCTGAACTACCTTAAAATTGTTGATCTCTAATGTCCCTAATATGTCAGTCTGGACACTAAGGGTATGTCTACACTACAGTTAGACACCAGCGACTGGCCCATGCCAGCTGATTCAGGCTCTCAAAGCTTGGGCTAAGGGGCTTTTTAACTGCAGTGTAGACATTTGGGTTCAGGGTGCAACCAGAGCTGTGGGACCATCCCACCTTGCAGATCCTAGAATCCAGACCAAGTCTGAACATCTCCACTGCAGTTAAACAGCTCTTAGCCCGAGCTGCATAAGCCTGCGTCAGCTGGCACTGCCAGGAATGGGTTTTTAACTGCAGTGTAGACATATCCCAAGACACTGGGTTTTATAGCCTCCTTGCCAGCAGATGGAGACAGAAAGCTATTTTTGTGACACTTTCACTCCATAAATGGAAAAGGACTGATAGGAAAAGAACTGGGCATATTCAATCTCCCTTGCAGGGATAGGAGAGAGAGACCCTCTTGTGGACAGCTGAACCCAAAAGTCTTTCATTTTAGTGAGATCAGTTCTCAGATCTTTTAACAGTCTAGTTTTAGGCTGGAGACTTTTTATGAGCCAAGGGTTCATTTTACATTCTCTCTTCGTTCCTTTCTGTTGGACTGTGTGTGGTGCACACCACCAGTTCCTGTGGTCTCCTCTTTTGTATATGTATGTATTTTGCACTCTTACTATTTTTTGTTTTGTAATCCTAGTCTGCCAGCCATATTGCTTCCAATCCTAAAGCAAGTGCAAAAATGAAAAAGGACAATATGAAGTATGCCAGTTGGGCAGCTAACCAAATCAATAGAGCTTACCAGGTTAGTATTTTGTCTACATTCTAAAGTCTTTTCCTGGACATACTGCATATCTCCATGTTATGATAAAATGGGTTACTAAAAGGCAAGATGTCTGCATATCTTAATAGCTTTTCTACTTCTTTTAAAATTAAATTGGACAGATTTGCAGCTTGCGTAAATCAGCATAATTTGGTTGATTTCAGGTCACACCAGCTGACGATCTGATTCAAATGTATGCATTCTATTTCTGTGTAAAGGACTCTGATGTTTTACATGCTGTAATATTTGTATAATGTACTGGGTTTGGGGGTTTTTTTTGTTTTGTTTTTTTTTGGTTTCTATTGATTTGTTCTTTCTAGTATTAGCATTGAATGCACAGGGTAGCATTATATGAATCTCCAAGACTTGGGTCTGTATGTTTCTGATTGTTTCATCATATGTGGTATGTCAGTAGTCAATTAAAATAGTTTTGAATTTCTGCTTTAGTTGTGTTATTTACTAAAAGAAGCAGAGATGAAAGGATTCAAGGCAAGATTTTTTAAAAAAAATGACTTGGGTGCCCAGTTTAAAACACTGGATTTTGGGGGAGAGGCGCTCAGCGCTTTCTGGAAAACGGCCTCTTTTAAGGTGTCTTAAGTTGAATACTCAAAGTCACAAGCCCGTTTTTGACAGTGCTGGCCTTAGTGAATTGGTGGCATAGTCAGGATTAATACCAGGGAATCTTGAGTCCCAGGTTCCAACTTTAAAACTAGAGATTTATTCGTAAAAATGAAAGCTTGTAGTTATTTGATTCACAGCCACTTATTCTTGTTCTTTTCATGTGGCTATTTAACAGCTCAGGATCTCTCAGGAAATATGATTTGTGTTTTTTTTGTTTTGTTTTTTTAACTCTATGGTGCAGTTATACAGTTTTTGTGAAGTTATTTTGGAGCCAGGTTAAAATGATTTGGCTTCCCTTTCTCAGTTGATGCTTACCAGAACAGATCACATTAACACAACTAAAATATATATATTTAAAACAAATGTCAGAACTTCTTTGTGCCTTCATTCCTTTGTGACACATTGCATAGTTCAGATGTATTTTATAGCACTTTGGGATAAAAAGTGACAAATACCATATCTGACTGAAACTGCATGGGGGATTTTGATTTGTAGCATATATCTACTCAAATTAGAATTTGGCTAGCAGCTCTGTGTGTGTGTGCGCGTGTGTGTGTATTTTTATATATTGTATAAAAATGCACACACAGCTGGACAGGACCATTTCCCAGTCCCACCCTGCTTAAAATGTGAGTCTGACAAAACTGCGGGTAGGGTTTGGCGACACAGGTGGTACAGGAAATGGGGGTGTTGCAGAAGGTGGCCGTCTCCCTTCTGAGTTGATATGGAATCAGAGCCGTTGCATAATATTGTGGTGTTGAAGATGAAACTTTGGTCACTTGTGCCAATTAAAGTCCCTATGGCCTTTTTCGTGAGAGGAGATTCCATTTTGGATAATTAAATAGTCTGTGAAACGCCACCCTTCTCCCACATTCCCCAAAGTTCTATGCAAAGTGAGATAGGAGACATAACATCTTAGTGAGTTTGCCATGGGTTTATGAGTTCTGCTACGTGGACTTGCTGGCATTGTCAGCAACTCAGTTTGTCCTTCAGTCATGTCTGTTCTCTTACTCCAGAGAGGTAGATGCATTCTTTATCCTGATTTGGCTACCTAGCAAAGTAATGTGGATTTGTGGCTCTGAATATGGATATTTTAACTGAAGAAGTATAGAGGTATTGGGAGTTCCACTGCAAAATATATGCTTTTCCATGTGGATTTTTAACTTAAATTCCCACCAGTTTCATGCACAATACCATTAATTTTGGATAACTTCCTCTAATTTGGCAAGTTCAGGTCTACAAGTTTGTTTGATAAATATTCAGCTGTTTTGTTTTTCAGTGGATCTCTATTTTTGATAAGCCCTAATTAAAAATGTTTCTTTAGTGGCCTACTTCTCTTCATCTGGCTTCTGGCACCTAATTTTAGTCTTTTGCTTTGTTTTTTCCTGTAGCTTGAGTCTCTATTCGAACTATTGAATTACTTTGGTTTCTTGTATTAAGTGGTTTATTTTGTTTGTGAACACACAGATGAAATTAAAGAAAACAAAATTTAGGCTGAATTATCCAAGAAGGTCTCCTTTCACCAAGATCTGTCAGACTGGAATAGGCTCCCAAGGAAAGTGGTGGAAGTTAGGAAGGTCGAATTAGATTGTGAATTTTTTTAGGAGTACAAATATTTGCACTTATGTATTTTTTGGCAATCCATATTTATTTAGGTGTTCAATATTTGTCCATCCCTGCTAACTAGTGCTTCTCTAGCTGTGCCTGGTCTAGTAGAGAAATGTCCATTTAGGAAGGGAGAATTGTCTGGTATCTAGAACTCCTGGATTCTAACCCTGATGCTAAAACAGGATTACTTCTCAGGGCATTGGGTTTAATTCTTTGTAAAAACACAGTTAACCCATCATATGAAATCCTTTCTAAAAGTACTAACTATTGAAGTATAAGTGCATTTCTATTATATTAAACACTTGAGACTGGTGGCTTGTTATCCAGATTAGGTTTTACATTGTGTAGAGGTCACAGAACATCTTTTTTAGGGAAATTCTGACCTGTGGTATCAAAGCAAGCTCTTTACAATTGTATATAAAATCCATTTATTTAACTATTGACGTGAATCACACAAAAAGTGAAGAACTACTTCTTTGTGTCGCTTAACATTGAAACAAAATATGGCTACCTAATGCTCTCCAATTAGATAATTGGTTTAGCATGTCCTGTGGTAGAAGCATTTCAGCAGAGGCAAGCAAGTTTGATTGATGCTCATGAAAATCTTTTATGTGATCCCACTCCTGGTAACTTTCCAGATAAATGTTTCTTAGGCACATTGCTAAATTCTTCAGTGTTAGTGAGTCGCATGTTATTTATGATTGGAGAGGTGATTCCGTTACAAACCATTTGGGAAACAGAAAATTAAATCATGATTTAAAAAAAAAAAAAAAAGGATTCCGGCTCAATCATCTGAATTGCAGTATAATGCCGGAATAGAAAAAATAATTGGTCATCAAGGAAAATTTGAAGTGATTAGATTTCAAGCTTCTATTTGTTATGATGTGGAGTTTAGTTTTATTTGTTCTAATTTAAAGTGCATGTCAGTATCATTAAGGCAGCCGCTCATGAAACTAACAAGTAATGTTACTTAAATTGACATAAAATATTAATTCTGTTCTCAATGTCCTTAAAGCAGAAACAGAAGTAAAATTCTGCTAATTTTGAAATCCCCTGCCTCCCTCCTCTGATCACCCCTGCCCCACCCCCAACTGTTTCTACCATGCAGCATTACTTTTTGACCACAGTGTGCACAGGCTTCTGTGCTGTTACTGAAAGAGTCACAGGAATCGTAACACATGCTGTTTTATCTGTTTTTTATTTTTTTTTTTTTTTAAATCAAAGCTGTTTCTCAAAGAATTGGACCTCCCCGAGTATTTGATTAGGGCTGTTCTTGTTTTGTGTGGGGGAAAAGGAGGGCATAGAAGAGAGGTTTTCTTCTCTTCTGTTCAAATCCAGGCAAAAGTTACTTTATCAGCTGGGAAGGCATAAAGCAATCTCTGCTGTTCCTCTAAAGTGTTATCATTATGGGCAGTTATGGGAATCTGACAATTTAAAAGGTGGATTTACACCTACTAGCACAGGCAAAATTAAATGGCATTCCACTTCCAGTAAAAGCAAGGTATTCTTTAGTTAAGGGATACAGTAAACAGTTTGTCATCATAGCTACATTTTATGCTTCTAGATATTTAATTTGTAATGCCTTTTTATTTCCCATACCAAGTCTAGTTTTTTAACAACACAAAGCTAACAGCTAGGAATTAAGGGAAACTTAATGTTAGACTGTAGCCTAAGGGGTCAAAAGCAGGTGAACAGCTCCTGCAGCTTGCTGCTGCTGTGATATTACCTGAGTTTGATCACTTAATCTTTCCCAACAGGTCATGAGAAGTTTGCTAAATTAAGTTAATTACAAGAGAAATGGGACACATCATAAATCAATGACTAAACATGCAGGACAGCAGTGGTATTTGAAGAAAAAATCATTAAACTGTAAATTTATTGAGTGTTTAGATGTTAACATTTAGTCAGAGAATAGGGTATTTTACTAACAGCAAATTATAGTCAGTACTTTATCACCAAAATATTTAGTGTATGTTTGGTGGTGGCGGCTTTTTTTTCCTACTTGACTAAAGCACCAACCTAGCCAATAAATCTATTGTGTTCTGTCAGGCTGATGAGTGATGGGAATTGTCAGTACAGTTAGAAAACTCATTTTGAGATCAGCATGGGGTAGTCAACAACTCTTTTTTTTCTCCCCTGATGCTAGGTTACTAGTATAGCATGGAATTTTAAATGCTAAAATGTACAAAGGTAATATTTGCATGGCTACATATTCCTTCATTACCAATATAGGCTTTATTTCCAATTCCATCTGGAATTACAATTGTAATGGTAGATTATAATTAAATAAAAGGTTCTGACTCACAATCACAGTTGAACCGAGGAATACATTTATGGGATCACTGTCTTGCTTTACAGTATGTTTTTGTAAGTAAACTATTCCATTCCTGTGCTGTAAATAATATGGAGTCTTATTAGTTTTTTATCATGTCCATATCCTGCCTCTATCAAAATATGAGCATGATCGAAGTTAAATCAAATAAAAGACCAGCTTTTTAAAATGTTTCTGACAAATCACAAAGCAGACAATGAAAAAATTGTCTTTGCTCTGTGTTAAGGTAAATGCTAACTTAAGTGGTACAGTCTTAGTGAAACGTTTGTTTGTTTTTTGTAGTAAATTGGTGGGCTGTTTTAAAAGTTATTTTTGTGTTTTAAAAGTTATTTTTGATTTAACATTTAGAACCATAGCTTGTACAAGTCTATTGCACAGCATGGTATAGTGAATTTTCTGTCACATCACTGGTAAAAGTGAGTTTATTCTTTTTCTTTAGTTTGCAGGTCGCAGTAAGAAAGAGACTAAGTACTCTCTGAAGGCAGTGGAAGACATGTTGGAAGCCCTGCAAATCACTCAATCTTAGACTGTCACAAAGAGATCTAATGTGAGATTTTACAACTCCATGTTCAACCTTTAATGATCTATGACTTACGTTACTTTAAATGCCCAATTCCATTGTTAATGTGCTATCTTAAAGGATGTTTTTATGAACATTTAAAATGTCTATTTATTGCTGCTGTGAAGAAGACACAATGAAAACTCACTAAAATGTATAACTTATCCCAGGAAGATAACATAAAGAAATTAAATGTATTGCACATCAGTCTCTTTAGATTCTGTATGTACAGTGACTGCTTTTTAAGCCATAATCTGATGTAGAAATAAACTTGTTAAATGATCAAGTACAGTTATGTATTGGACCTGCAGACTTATACATATAGATGAATACTATATGTTATTCAATTAAGATAAAATTATCTATTTGAGTTAAAATGTGGTAAAAGGTAAACGGTTACTGAGCAGTATTCATTATACAAACATGAATCATTACTCTACCTGAGCACAGTTTATTCAAGAATAAATTTGATATTAAAGTTTTTGTTAAGATATTTTCTTGTGTAATTGGCAGTATAGAAATGGAAGCAATATATTCATACCGTTGGTTTCAGTGGAAAGAACTCACGTGCTTAGAGATAAGCATATGCTTAATACTTTGCTGGAGCCTTTGTGTATAAATGCATGAGCAAGTATCTGCTTGTCTATACAGCTGTGTGATTGGTGCATCTGCCTGCACGTTTTTTATTTGTGCAGTTAAGGACAGTAGGAAATCACCTCATGCTTCAAGAGCTATCTGAATACAGCGTTGTGTACTCTTTTCGATGTTTACTGAGCAAAACAGTGCAGCTCATGGTTTATGGATCTTTGGTTCAGTCAGAATTAAGCTGTTGGTAATTCATAAGCTGTGGCAATTTAGTCATGCAGCTGTTTCTTCTACTGCAGTTTCAGCAACTGGGCTGCAGAGTGGAAATTATATCAATTAAAAAATTCCAGTAAGAGATACTTCAACCCTTGATTTTAATGATGGATATCAACATAGTTAATAACACAGCTCATATTTTAAACTTCATATTCTTCTATACCCAGAGCACGGTTAAGTCAAAGGCACTATAAGCCTTCCTAAGGCCCCAATTCCTGTGGTCATGTGATGAGATCAGAGACTTTCAGCTTTCATTTAAATAAATAAATAAAAGTTTCTGTCCCTTGTGGATTCACAGAATAGCTTGAAAACGTGACCCAAGTGTAACTGATAGCTGCCGGAGTCTGCCTGCAATAGCTCAAATTGCTGTTTTTGAACAATAGCTCCAAAACGTGAACTGACTTATTCATCTTAACTCTGAAACATGCTTCCACCCCAAGGAGGAGCGGGGCATGGGCAGAGGGGCTTTGGGATGTGGGTTTTTCCTTAATTCAATCCTGCTAAATACCAAAAATCATGTACTATAATGGACTAGTTCACATTTCAGAAACATGGTTTACTTCATTTGGGTCACTTCAGAAAGATTGGGGGGGACGGTTTAAAACAAAATATTCATTTGGTTTTTCAGTGAATAATTGAAACAAAGCATGAAGTGTTTCCAAACAATGGGTTGAAAATTTGGTAAAATTAGTGAAAAATAGCAAGTACATTTTTCCATGGGTGCTTGTTAAATGTGAAGCCAGTGATGTACAGATTTTGGTTTTAAATGAATTGCCTTTGATTAGTCAATTCAGAATTAGCTATATTATTTGTAATATTTTACTATCAAGTGTAGGAATAAAAGCTAAGATTTTTTTTTTCCACATTAGGAATGTTTTCAATGTTAATTGTACCAAGATTAGAAAATGGCAGTTCTCACAAACATTTTCAGTCCTTAATTATGATCTTATTCCTCATCTGTTCCACAGTCAAAGGATTTCCACCTCCAGATTACTTCTATATAAAAAGTTGCCCTGTCTTATGGGATATACTTTAAATAGTTAAAATTTCACTTTTATACTGATATCTAAAAGAAATGTGTGTATTCAGCCACTTCTAAACTTGAGTAAATCAAGGAGATACTTTACTACAATAACTAATTCACAAGCCCTTTTTATTGTGTACTTTTAACATGACAGTAATATGTCAATAGAGAATATTAAGTGTGAAACTCTCAAGTAAACCTAGAGATTTCTTCATGAATGTACAGCCTTATACTGTAGGAGTGCGCCCTCTAGAGTTTTAAAAAAATTCCATTAATTTCTTCAGCACATGCATTCTGCAGTTCAAAAAGAATGGCAAGCTCTAGCAATGTTTGTTGAAACACTTCTGTACAAAAATAAAGTCTCTTCTTTGCCTCAGAGGTTTAGATTTTCTAAATGGGTTCAATTTATTGTACATTTTGTATCTAGTGTAGTTTAGTTACTATCACTGTAGCATTAAAATGCAAAATCAATTGAAACCACTATTTCATAACGTACACATTCATCTCTAACTCCAATGGGCGAAGTAGAAGAGTCATGCTGTGCAGTTTCGCCTCCTTGTGTTGAGTTTAGGATCATCACTAAAATAAAACCACAAAAGTACTAAGTGTAGTAACATCCAAACTGTTTAAACATTTTACTGTGTGTAATTTGTCATTTTGTAATTAGGAATCATTCCCCCCAAATTTATTTCTGCCAACTGTACTAAACTTTTGTGCAGTGTTTACCTCCCAGTGTGTTAATAGATAGTGCACTGGTCCCATGCATCAGACAGCTGGTGGTCCTTGAAAATGAACGTATAAGATGTTCTGTGTGAGACAATTTTCAGCATAACTAGCACATTGACAACTTATTCGTCAAATCTAGGCCCTTTTATTAATTCCCAAATTATCCACAAATAGACATCAGTTTTGTTCCTTCTTTGAAATTATTCAGTGACATGTCATTTTGTTGACTGCTGACAGACCGTCTTCTACGACTGTTGCATCAGGTCTTCCCTCTTTGTGTTATGTGACTAATCTCATGGCTTGGATGCTTCCCCAAGCTTCAGAGTTTAGAAAATGGCCTAGCCAATATTTATCAAATCCACTAGCATGAATATTTGTGAAATTTTCTTTCCACTAACACTTGCAAACAGTTGGCCAGAATGTTTATGGAAAGTGATTGAAAGGGGTTGCAAATACCATCAAATAGAATTGAGTTTTCTATTCAGATCAAGAATTGTAAATCCTTTATCACACTAGTCTCACTTTACACAGTTTTGTATCCAAGATCTGTGATAACCTCATTCAGTAATGGGTGCATTTCATATAGGTTGACTGTTCCAAGAATAGGAAACACTTGTGTAAAATACTATTGATGTTGCCTTGGTCTAATGAATAGAATTTCATACAAGGGAGTTTATTTAGCTGAAAAATAAATGACACTAACTTAGGTGCTCTGACAATGACAAGCACTATGTAAGTGCTAAGCGTTGTCATCCGTGTGCAGGCTCTTCTCTCCAAAGTAATAGGCTGTCATTCCATATTGTTTCAACTGGCACCATAGATTAGACATCATATGGAATCATCATGTGTTGAGTTAACAGCATTCTGCTTTGAGATACTGAACAGTGAAGCTGTTATTTCTTATGTGGTTTTGTGCACCTGCAGTTTGACAGCATGCATGATGGGAGGTAGGTATTTGTGTTTTGAATTGGAACAAAGTGCATAGAAGTATACAGAAGAACCTCTGTTCTGCTGGGTTTTTTTAACAAAAGTTACTGACATTTTTTCCTCTCAGTCTATCAAAAATGTCAATAAAATCCATGTTCTCCAGATGCAAGAATGTGTATATTTTGTGTAGAATAGATCCTCAAACCTCTTGCAGTTTAGTGTCCAGAATATCTCGCAGTTGCTTTGGGAAGTTCTGTTGTTAGTCAACAGAGGGTTTCCTCTTGGCAGTGTTCTATTTGTGATGGCACCCATGTTTGCTAGTCATTACATTTGCAGTGGAACTTGTGTTTCAGCCAGCTTTAGAAGGGAGGAGAAAAGGAAGGCAAATTAAACTTGATTTACTGGCATGAATTCATTAGCTTCTTGTTACTTGCACCCACATATTCCAAGAAGACCAAGCAGTCAAGTTTGTCATAGTTGCTCTCCATGTTGTAACTGAAGAGCTCCTATATATTTAGTAGTATGACTAAAAATCCATTAAGATCTAAAACATATGCAACACAGTTAAAATAATTTCTTATGTGACTTGATGAGGCTATCCTAGAATGCAAGGCAGGGATCATTCTCCCAGCCTTATTCAAATCAAGATCAGAATGTAGCAGCATTACAATGCTGCTTTAACACTTTTTTTTTTTGTACAGATGAATGGTTTCACTTTATACACTGCTTCTATTACTTGTTTTACGCAGTACTTGAAAGAAGAGAATTCTAGGACCAGTTAGTTATTTGATTGGAGCTGTAGATATTTGGATCTACATGTAGGGTAAAGTACTTTGGATTAGTCATTAGTCTTCTCCAAAACGATTCGGCACCCTCCGAGATCTGTAGCCTTTTGATAGGCACCAGCAGGAAGTTGGATTTAAACCACAGTGTAGTTTTCAGAAATACAAGTTCATTAATCTTGCTTCTCAAAGGAAAATGGGGGGGCGGGGGGAGGGAAGTTCTCATATAAAGTTGTGGTCCAGGTGCTGGATGTGATGTGAGAAAAGTCTTTACTACACAGGTACATTTATTTGTTCTCTCAAGAAATTCTCCAAGTGCAAATGACAGCGCAAGGCCCTCTCCAGCCCATTTGGCAAGGCTTTTATTTGAGGAAGTGGCTCAGTGCAGGGAAGCTGTGCAAAGGCCTGTACAACACACATGCCTGGGGGGTGGGGCTCTGAGTTGGCCAATGCAAAGAGGGCTAATGTGACAAGCTAAAATATGTGCCCATTGGTTCTGCACTTGGGGTCCCGTGGTGAGGTACCAATAGGAGTGTAGCTGTATTCCAGGAACAGACCGGCCATCCTGGACTGGGGTTGTTAGTTCCGGCCCTCCCCAAGGCACCCATAGTACAAAGCTTGAGTATCCTCTGTGTGAGAGACCGAACTGAATGAGAGAGGACTAGCCGAATTAGAGCACACTGATTTGTTTGTGGGGTTTTAAGGGCAGGAAATGGTAGCGTTTAGATTTCTTACAAATATAAATGTAGCTAGGAAAAGGAAAGCAGGAAAAATGTCTTTTGTATGTATGCATGCTACTTAATATAATGTATGGGCCTAACAGGGAGGGCAGTCTATGCAGAAATAACAGAGGATGGGGAAAGAGTATATTAACTGAAGCAAAAGGAAACACTAGTAAATGACAGCAAAAATCATGAGACTAAGAGACTTAGAAGCAGCATCCCAGCCAGCTATTTAAAATAAATAAATTGAAATCCTCGCCCCTGGAAGCAAAAATCCCCTTGACTTCCATGGGGCCAGGAGTTCACCTCCATTGTGTGTCACTCTTTTCCCTATGCTTTGTCTGTATTTTTTCTACATGGGCCTGAATTCTGCAGTCTCTTCTATGTGGGTGGACTGTGGCCATATAAAACCTTACTGATTTCAGTGGGACTCTGTGCAGA